TGTGCGAGTTAAAAACTATGTCATCTACCAGAAAACTCCAACGCTCAGATACGAGATATATAGATTTAAATTGACAAAAAGCTGGCACGTTGTTATTGAACCATTCAACGAAAAAACGTACATTAAAATTAGAGATTATTACCAAGTGAAAAATAAAGACTTCTCATTGGCTCCTGGACGAGGGATTAACCTTACTGTTTCGGACTGGGAGCTGCTCAAGACAATGATACCGGCCATTGATGAAGCCATCAATGAATTAGATCTATGTATTGGTTAAAAAAAAAAAAATTGACTGATCTAAACGGTGTTGGAAATGGATAAAAGGGCAGGGGTTCGGTCTTGGAGACCATCTTGCTCAATCAACTCATCGCACGGTATCATCATCGCCATCAGTCTCCATCACCAAAATCACCAGAAATATGGCATTCTCTGAGTCTAACTTTAACACCGAGGAGGAGTGGGTTATGCTGGAGGCCCTCACCAACGACGATCCAATGTGGGGGCAAGTGGCACCGCCGTCTCCACCGGCAGCAGTTCCCGTCCTAGAGTGGGACATGGGTAAGTTAAATTACGTTTTTACTTTGGTGTGTATGTTCATGGAGGAATTCCTCCATGGTATGTTGTGGCTAGCTCCTTTCGAAGCACAAGTTTAGCCACTACCCCTATACGGCTAAAATATCTTACCAATCTTTTCTTGCTTATCACGCAGCTTCGGATGTGGAAGAGGTGATGGAAGAGCAACCGGAGATCATCGATCTCACAGGGGAAGACGAATTCGGTGGCGGAAAAATTAGAAGCGTTGAGACAATTTATTTTATAGAACTGGGGGTTTCTTCAGGGCTGTCGACACAGGGTTCCTCCTTTTTAACTTCTTTTTTTGCTTTGTTTTTCAAGTAATGTATAGTTAATGGTTTGAAATGTGTAATGTAATTTGTGTTTGAAATAAAATGGTTGTTATTGGGAATAGTTTGCGTCGCTTGTTTGCATTTTGGTTTGGGTCAAATAAGAAAAATAATTAATAAATAAAATTAGGCAAAGAAATAGATAAATAAATCAAAATAGAAAATAATTAATGAAGGAAATAGTCAAGAAATAGATGAATAAATCAAAACAGAAAAC